GTTGCTTGTAATGAATTAGCATGGAAATTGGTTGGTAGCTTTTAATTTAGAATTAATTCAATTTTAATAAAAACTTCGTAACCTATACTAAGATCGATACACATTTAATTGGCACTATAATCTCACGTTCACGTGATAAATTACGCTCCCATAAAGCAGTCTGAAAAAATATCTTCACACGTCGCTTCTAACAAAAATGCCTTTTTCTAATAAACTCCTTGCTGGTTTATTACGACAAAGCAATCGTTTCAATGGTGTTCTCAAAGCCATCCTTTATATAAACGCTAACTACAAACTAGAGCAACGACACAAAAGTAAACCTCTTTACAAAAATCTATCAAGAACCTCGCTGAATTTAAAGTAATTTTTTTGCACCCCAAAAGTAGTCATATACCCTTTTTATATTGTTAATAATTATGACATCAAGGCTATTTATCAATATTTTATCTTCCCAAGTTGTCCACCCCCTCGCAGACGAATTAGGCGAAGATGACGGGACTTCAGCCGACCATTTCTCCAGCCATGCCACTAGACTCTCATTAACAAGGACTCGATCGGTCCCATCATCGCTTATTTGTAGTATAGAAGCATTGCCCGATCCTTGAGATTCGTCATTGTCAGGATGAGTTGGCGTGGTTATTCGAACAAGGGTAGTATTACTAATTTTAGGTCGTTTTTTGTGTCTTGGAGAAACTGATGAACATTTGTAATTTATATTCCCAGATTTAGCCTTTCTGGGATGAAATTCTCTCTGGTTTGATTAGAAACTTCCTCCCACGACCCTTCGAGAATGACATCAAGGCTATTTATCAATATTTTATCTTCCAAAGTTGTCCATCCATTAGGCGAAGATGAACCGACCATTCCTCCAGAGACTCGATCGGTCCCATCCTCGCTTATTTGTGGCTGATGAATATTCATATTCTCATTGACATCATCGTCGATTAAAAAAACACCATCTATTAAAGAAACCACCGTCAATTAAAGAAACCATCGTCGATTAAAGAACCATCGTCGATTAAAGAAACATAATCGATTAAAGAAACATAATCGATTAGATTATCGATCAAATTAGAATCGTCTTCGATTTCTTTGCCCTTGCGACGAGTGGCCAATTTTGAGTTCAAGAATATTTCACAGTTGGTAATTGTTCTTGATTTACCAACATTGATGAATCTTGTGATATTGTTACATTGTTTGATATAGAATTTAGGGTCCGAATTTGTTATAGTTAGAAATGGACAATGAGTTAGTATTCAATATAACCAACGATAAAAAAAATATTAACAAAACATCCCCAAAGAAATCTTGACTAAAAATAAATCCAATGTTACTTACACCTCCGTCATCATTTTTGATTTTGGTTGTATCCCTTTTCAGGGTGTCAATGGAATCGGTATATAATTGACATTTTGAATGTATATTCTAAGATGGATATTCTCGAACATCTTGGAAGAAAAAAGAGTGTAAGTTACTAACTAAAAAGGTGAAGGGTTATTCGCGGAAAGAGGGAAAAAGGTGAAGGGAAAGAGGGAAAGAGGTTAAAAAAAGGTGAAGGGTTATTCGCGGAAAGAGGGAAAAAGGTGAAAAAAAGATTTTGGGGAGATGGGGGGTATATATGAATGTTTTTGCGTGTTGTGGTGTTTGTTGTGTGTTGTGTTATGTTAGTTATGTTAGTAAACATTATACTAGATAATACGCGCGTATACTTAAATGTGCGGGTAATCTAAATTTATGTACACCCAGTGGACAAAAGTTTACAATCAGGAAATGATCGACATAAATTTAGGGTGGGATTTTTCTATTGTACTACGAAGCAAGTGTCCAATTGTAACGTAATTTAAAAAATATGTCAACCTTAGAAAATATAACCCAACGTCGCCAGCTTACAGATTTTGAACGTGGCGAAATAATCGGTG